TGGCCAGGCACCCCAGCGGGACCCCCACCCTGATCCGGGACACCCTTCAGGGCAAACCAGCTGGCCCCCACCCGTGCACCAGGCCTCTATCCTATATAGTAAAAGGGTAATATGCAAACTGACCCTACAGCAGAAAGACTGGGAATGACTGGTCACTATGACATACACTGACCACCAGGGGGCAGACGCTCAATGCAGGAGCTGCCCTCTGGTGGTCAGTGAGCTCCCACATGGAGGAGCTCTGCTCAGCTACAAGCCAGGCTGATGGCTGCCAGTACAGCGGTGGTGGTGGGAGCCTCTCTTGCCTCCTCAGCAGCGCTAAGGATGTCCGACTGCAGCTTAGGTCTGCTCCCTGCTGGCAAGTGGACATCTCCTGAGGGCTGCCCGGCTGCCAGAGGGATGTCTGATTGCCAGCTTAGGCCCAATCCCCCGAGGAGCAGGTGGTCATCCCCCGAGGGGTCCCAGACTGCAAGAGGGTACAGGCTGGGCTGAGGACCCCCCCCCAGTGCAAAAATTTTTGTGCACCGGGCCTCTAGTTTTTTTAATAAGCTCTCTGTTCCCTTCTCCCTCTCTTCTTCTGGTAATCCTATTATTCTTACATTGCTCTTTCTGATGGAGTCAGATAGTTCTCATAGAGTTCTCTTATTTTTTTTATACTCAAGTCTCTCTCTACTTTCTTCTGCATAATTTCTAGATTTCTATCTTCAACATCACTAAATCTTTCCTCCATCTTGTTTAGCTCTATATCCTATGCTCACTAGTTCATTCCTGATCTCTTTTATTGAGTTGTTCATCCCAAGAATTGGTTTGGTTCTTATTTAAAGTCTTAATCTCTTTGGTAAAGTACTCATTTTGTTCATTGATGTGGTTTCTGAGTTCATTAAACTGCTTATTTGTGTTTTCTTGCATCTTGTTGATTTTTTTTAAGAACTTCAATTTTGAATTCTGTCATTTAAATTGCATATTTTTATTACTTTAAATTTATTTTCCAGAAATTTTTCATTTTCTTTCTGAGCTGCCTCTTTACCTTGATTATTCATGTTTGCTGGATTCCTTTTTTCATCTAGGCATTTATGAATGAGTGGCACTTCTCTAGTACAACGGTCACCAATTGATGGTCTGCTGACCACTGGTGGTTCGTGAGGTCTGAAAAGTTGGCGACTGCTGGTTTAAGGAAACCTTTGGAGCAGAGGTCGCCAACCGGTGGTCCGCGGACCACTGGTGGTCCGTGAGGTCCAAAAGGTTGGTGACCACTGCTCTAGTAGACTGATAAGATGAAGCCTTTCTATTGTTTTCCAGGAGGTGGCACTGAATCACAAGTTTTTTAGTGTTCTTGCCCTCCTCTAGCTTTTCAGATCTCCACAGGGTGATGGAAAATGGCCTGTG